GCCTCCTCCGCTGCGGGGCTCGCCCTCCGCCGCCGCCGCTCGGCTCCATCCCGGGCAGGGCCGGTGGGGGGTGGCGGGCGGCGCCCGGGCGCCCCTTCCCCAACGCTGCCCGCCTGGCGCTGCGCCCCTCGCCCCGCCCCGCCCGGCTGGCTGGCTGGCTGGAGGCGAGCAGGGAGGGGCGGAAGTGATGAAAGGGGCGGCCGGGGGGGGGGAGCCCCGCTCTGCTGCCTGGCCTGCCTCCCTCCCCCTCCCCAAGGGAGGAGGAGGAGGAGGACCCCCGCCCCAGGCCCCGCCCAGCCTCCCTCCCTTCGCCCCCCCTCCCGCAATCCAGCTGGGGAGGGGTCCTCCGAGGCCATCCAGCCGGACCCCCGGCTCCCCCGTTTCTCGACCCCGCCATCCGGCTCGGGAAGGGGTCTTCCGAGGCCATCCAGCCGGAGCCCAACTACCCTAGTATACTCCATCTAGTCTCCAGCCCATTTCCCCTCACTCACCCACAGCCCCAAATCCAGCCTCATCCAGTCAAACCCCAACTATCTCCAGCCCATTTCCCCCTCACCCCTCCACACCCCAAAAATAGACTCAGGGGGTCCCCTCTGAGGTCATCCATTCGGGCCCGGTTGCCCCATTCCCCTAAATCTCCAGCCTGTTTCCCCCCCCCACATCTATACCTCCCGAGTTCATCCAGTCAGACCCCAGCTGCCCCATTCTCTACCTAGTCTCTACCGTCCCCCCCCCAAACACACCCAGAAGTCCAGCCTCAGAGGGCCCTTCTGAGGTCATCCATCTGGGCCCCTGCTGCCCAGCCCTGCCTTGGCCCAGCTCCCTCTGGTGTGACCCATTTCCCCAGACTCTTCATTCCTTCATCACCCGTCTGCGATTCTGGGCGGGGTGCCCTGAAACTGACAATTAAAACGACAGCCCTACATAAACCAGGACCATGAAGAGGAAGAAGATCTATATAATGGAATAAATTACATATAATGAAGTGTTTTTCTCCACCTCCTCTCCCTTTATCCTCTCTGCCACCGCCACCCCCCCTTAAATCTCTTCTCCATTTGTAATGAGGGTCCCCAGCCTTCCCACGCCCCACGCAAGAGAGTTCCCTTTTGCAAACGGCCGTTTCAAGATAGACTGCTCCTTCCGTGGAGGTTCTGTGGCTTCACAAGGAGTAAAAAAAACCCCATAGTTTTCTTTCTCTCTCCCAAAAGGAGAAGAAACTGTGGACTCTTTGGTACAGAAACGGTTGCGGTTTATGACCTGAAAAGGCCATTAAGCCGGATTCACACTTATGACCGTGTGACTCAACTTTAAGCGCCTGATTCGACTTAATAACTATCCCAAAAATGGCTGTAAAATCAAATCTGGTCAGGAGATTGACAACAGAAATTTTGCAAGTTTTAAGCTTTTATATATTTAATTCCTTTTTCTCTGCCAATATTATTATTATTTTTTTCAAATAATCTGCTTTTACACCAAGCCTTTTTAGAGTCTGGTAAATTTGGCAAGTTTGCCGTATACATTCAACTGTGCAGACAGCTCCCTCCCAAACCTGATAGAGGACTAAAACACCCATCATCCCCAGCTGGTCTGCAAATTTCCCTCCTTTCCAAAACATCCCCATTTTTCCACCTTTCCAGATCAATGTTTTTGTAAGCTGCCCGGAATCACTTCTGCGAGACAGGCGGGGTAGATGATGGGATGAAGGAATAAATCAGTAAAATAAACATATTTTTTTAAGGCGCTGCAGAACGCTTTTCCTCCCCTCCTTAGCAAACATTCTAGAAAAACCACCTCAAGTTTTAAATAGCGCACTTGAAAGGACTTGCAACCTTCTTTGGAAAAAAAGGGTCCAGCTTTCTAAAAAGCTCCTTTTTAAAAAAAAAAAAAAAAAAAAGAGAGAGAGGAAAAAAATCCATTACAAAGAACTGTTTCTTGCTTGGGAAGCGTAAATTAATTCTTTTCCTCTGGTGGAAAAATGCCGGAGTCTGGAAATCAAACTTTTTTCTTTGAAGTTGCATTTTTTTTTCCTTCTGGAAAAAGGAATCCTTGCCAAAATCCTCCCAAAATCATAAGAGATGAAGATAACCTCTTAACGGCTATTTTGGACGACAATTGAGCCAAAATTTAAGTCGCTAAGCGAGACATTTGTTCAGGAAGCTTTGTCCCGTTTTTACCACCTTCCTTGCCTCGGTTGTTAAGTTGTTAACTTAGCCACACAGTTCTTTAGTCAACCCGGCTTCCCCCCCCCCCCCGGTTGACTTTGCTTGCCAGAAAGTCGCAAAAGGGGATCACGGGACCCCGGGAGGCTGCGACCGTCGTAAATGTGAGTCAGTCTGAATTTTGATCACGTGACCAAGGGGATGCTGCAACCGTCCTAAGTGTAAAAAAGGGTCCTAAGTCGCTTTTTTTCAGAGATGTCGTAAGTTTGAACCATCACTAAATGAATCAGGGAGTCCCTGTGCTGGGAAAAAATAAATAAACTTAAGAAAAAGCCGACCAAAAACAGCTACACTCTAAAGAGGAAAACGCACTGGGTAGTTTGTTGATTTGGAGAAAGACACATTTTTGCCATTTTGCTGCCCCTTGTGTGCGCTTTCAAGACACACAATCCCCGCAGCAAACAAACACACAAACAAACAAAAAAAGCTGGAAAATTCAGCTTTCAACAAGGGATTTTTTTTCTTTCTTCGCAGTTGCTTTGAGGATTTCTTTTGAGGCTGGAGCGAGTCTCGATCTCGGCACCCAGACAGGCTGGGCCTTGCCCGGAGTTGCGGGTCCACATTCCAAGGCCTTTCTTGTGCTCACAAGCCCACAAGAAACACCCCAAATTTAGAGCCTCTAGTGGCAGGAATGGGACACTGCCCTGTGCCCGCCTCCCGGTGAATTTGGGGGGGGCACGGTGCCACGGTGTGTTTGGGGAACGTGGCAATGGGTGTCAGCTTGTTTAAAAATAAACACAAAATCTCACAACAGGGCTCTGTCGATTTTCGAAACCGAAAGGGTTTGGTTTTTTTTAAACTTTTTTTTTTCTGGCACGGTGTGTAAACACACAGGCAGACACACAAACGCACAAATTTTCCTCCCGGCCTCATTTTTGCTTCGCTGATTTCCAAACGGAAACGGATGGGCCTGTTTTTCTTAAGGGTTTAGCTTCCGCAGCATCCCTCCACACGATCAAAAATTCACAGGCTTGGAAACTGACTTGTACTTAGGACGGTTGCAACCTCCTGACAAGCAAAGTGAATGCGGAAGCCGGGTTCGCTTAACGACTTCATAACCACAGTGATTCTCTTAAGGGTGGCGAGGAAGGAGTGTAAAACGGGGCACAAACTCATTTAACCAAGGCCTCGCTTAGCAACGGAAAATTGGGGGTCAGTTGCGGTTGTTAAGACAAGGACTGACCTGCATTTAATACTGCATTTTAAGACGATTTGTTTCAGCCAACCGGCTCTGATCTTTGGGGAGCCAAAGCGAAGCATCCCGAAAGCTCAGGAAAAAAAAAAGCTGGAGGCATTGAGGTCTCAGGTCTGCGATAGACTGCTCCTGGCTAAGGAGGCTTCCCGTAGTATTTCCTGGCTCATGAATGTTGCCTCACCCAACCGGTTCGAGATTTATCTAATCCTGCATTGAGTCGCCAGTAATAGCCCTCCGGGAAGCTGACAATCAGGGTTACCCTAGATTTTATGTCCGTATTATCCTATAGTTCTCTTCCTTATCCCTTCCCAAGGCCGCCGATTTGTGCCTTGTGCGTTACAACATTGCTGTGTGGCAGCCACAAGTTTAATTTTCAATTTTGGCTCCGATATGTGTTTATTCAGGGATTCTGTTGAACGTTGCTCCCTCAGTTTTCCCGCTCGGCCTCCCTTCCGACATAGGCCTGCAATCTTAAGGGCTAATATAATGTAGGCAGTCCTCCATTTACGACCACAACAGAGCCCGGAATTTCTGTGGCTAAGCCAGACGATCGTTGAGTTTTGCCCCACTTTACAACTTTTCTTGCCTCAGTTGTTAAATGAATGCAGTTGTTAAGTTGTTCAGCGAATCTTGACTTTGACTTGCCAGAAGGTCACAAAAGGAGGATTGCGTGACCCCGGGACGCTGCGACCGTCGTAAATAGGAGTCAGTTGCCAAGTATCTGAATTTTGCTCACGTGACCGCGGGGAGGCTGTGACGGTCATAAGTGCGAAAAACGGTCATAAGTCACTTTTTTCCCGTGCGGTTGTAACTTCAGTTGTGTCGAGGTCTAGTTGTAACCACGCCAAGGTAAAAATAAATAATTTATTTTTTTGACACATCAGAGATCCTTAGCCGAGACCTCCAGAGTTGCGTGAGAAAGAGGCGATGTTTTTACCGTCCCGACGATCCGGATTATCCGGCCTTTTCCGAGCGCGGAAAAGAGAAGAGTCCTTAAACAACCTGCCAAATTGTCTAACGTGTAAAGCCCTGCACAATTTTGCCCCCCGTGGCTACGGTCTGGCTGTGCCACAATTTCCCGCCGACACAAACGCGCCGGCACCAGCCGCAAGAAAATCAACAGAGCAAAATGGTGGCAAAAAACTGGGAAAGTTTTGCTTTACCCACCGGTTTGTTTATCTCAGCCCCCGTTTTCCCAGGAAGTGACTGCCGACGTAGCCGTCGGCCAGCGGGGTCTGGAAACGCTTATTTGAGGGTTGAAATGGACTTGGGGGGGTCTCAGCTGCCCCTTTATGCCACCCAAAAGAGGACAAGGGAAATAATTCTGGCTGGTTTGTACGCAGAGGAGGGGCCACCACCGAAAAGGCCCTGCTTGTGTTTTGGCACACAACGGAACGGTGGCTTCTATCTGTGGGTCCTTTCTCGGATAGCCGGCATCCGTTTCACTCACCGCCGATCGCCCCAATGTCCCTTTTCCAGGTCTTGATTAATACAAAAGACCCCCTTTCCATCACAGATTGAGGAAGGTGCCCCCCACCCAATACACCAAAAGGGAAAGGAAGGAGGAAGCGTCCTGAGCAGAGGTGTCATTTGGGGGCTTCGCCGTGGGACTCCGGCCTGGCGCCTTTCCATGACTCGGCATATTTATTCACCACGTAGACCGGCAGCTCCGTCTCTTTCTCGCCGCCCAGGTCCAGTTTTTCTGGAATCGACTTTTCCCGCTCCGTCGGATCGTCGGGGTGATGAAACTCGACGCCAAATTGATAGATCACCGTCCCGACCGTGGCCCCCAACATGGGGGCCGCGATTGGAACCCACCACCAGCAGTCTCCGGCACTGGAAGGGCAGAAACAGACGGGAGCATAAAGCCAGGACAGAGTGGTGAAATAATAATTACGACGGGAATTGAGCCGGGAGTTTCCGTTTCTAAGTGAGACAGTCGTTCATTGAGTTTTGCCTCGTTTTATGACCTTTCCTGCCACCGTCATTAACTGAATCCCTGCAGGTTGGGAAGCGAACCGGGCCTTCCCCCGTTCACTTGGCTGGTCCGAAGGTCTCAAAAAGGGATCGCACAACTCTGAGGCACTCGGATCCAAATTCGGACGCTTTGGCAATGGACTCGTGTTTGTGACTGTTCTAGCGTCCCGGGGTGTGTGTGTGTGTGTGACGTGATCCCCTCTTGTGACCTTCGGGCGAGCAAAGTCAAGGGAGGAAGCGCGATTCGTTTAATGACTGTGGCAAGGAAGGTCGTAAAATGGGGGCAAAACTCACTGAAGAGCTGCCTGGCTTAGCCACAAAATTTGGGGGCTCAGTTGCAGCCGTAAATCGAGGACTAACTGTAGAGACTATGGGGGAAAAAAGGTGGTATATAATGACTGAATGTTGAAAGAGCTTTGGGCTATTTTGGCTTCAGCGGAATGAAAACTGTTTTTTGTAAAGCTGAGCAGCATTTGGGGATCAGCCCACCTCAGCCCGCCTCCGGAGTGGGAAGGGGGGGAGACCCACCTGAACACCTGGGGACCCCACCCGGCCACGTAGGTGAAGAGCCGTGGCCCCAGATCCCGGGCTGGGTTGATGGCGCAGCCGCTGTTGGCGCCCATGGCTACGCTGAGGGCGAAGACCAGGAGACCCACGGCCAGCGGGTCCAATCCGGGCGGGACGCGCTTGTTCCGGCCGTCAATCATGGCCAGGATGCCCAGCACCAGGACCCCGGTGCCCAGCACCTGGGGGGGCAAAAACAGAGCCAGGAAGGAGAAGCAGCAGGAGAAAACGAGGGAGGGAGGGGGAAAAAAGAAGAAGAAAAAAGAGAGGAAGGAAAGGAGAGAGGGAGGGAGGATAGGGAAGGAAGGAAGGTACAAATAGGAAAGGGAAGGGAGGGAGGGAGGGAGGGAGGGAGAGAGGAAGGAAGGAAGGAAGGATGGATCAAGATGAACATGCAAAAGAGAACTAATATCCCAGCAGCCCCCAGGAGATGGCTGCTCCTCTCACCTGGTCAAAAAACCCGTTTGGCGTCGACAGGTAAGGGGCCGGGTAGGTGGCAAAGATGGAGGCGGTCTCCCGGGGTCCCGTCACCCTCAGGGTCCCATTGCTGTAGCTGTGGATGGCGTCTGTCTCAAGAAAAATAAAAATAAAAAACAAGACCCCCACCCAGGCGACTGTGAAGGACGGGCTTCAAGATCACGTGGCAGGAGGGCGTCACCTAAGGGCTGTACCCAGCCTTAGAACAGCTGACAAAGGGACTAGTCCTCAGTGTGCCTTCTACCCCCAAGATCACCCAAGGTGATCCGGCCATTGGGACCCAGAAGGGGGCAGCTGGCCAAGAGGGGCCCCCTCTGCCCTCTTAACAAAGGCTACCTGGTTACCATAATAAAGGATGTAGACCGTGCCGGCCCCCGTGAACGCTCCCAAAACTTGGATGAGGAAATAAACAGGCAGTTTCCACCAGGGAAACTGAGCCAGCAGGCACAGGGAGAGCGAGAAGGCCGGGTTCAGGTGTCCTCCTGGGAGACAGAGAGAGAGAGAGAGAGAGAGAGAGAAAGAGAGAGAGGCTTCTGTCAATCATTTCCACCACCATTCCCCAGCCAGCCTGCTTTAAGAGGGGGTGATGTGCAAGGTCGTTCCACCCTTTTCTGATAGAAAAATAGCCAAAACCACCCATTGAATAGGCAGGTTTTGCTTAACGACTTGCTGACCCGCTTAACGACAGCAGGGACCAAGCCGTACAGGCAAAGCATCTCCTTCCAGCTGTCCATTTAGCCACCACGCACCGCCTGCTTTAAATGATATATCCGAGATTGCAATGGAGGGGGGGGGAGGAGACTGGATGGGTCTGGGGGAGACCCAGGTATGCGGGGGGGTGGCCCACCTGAGACGCCCCCCGAGACGTGGACAGCCACCATGACGGCCACTCCGCTGGCTAAGGAGGAGCTTAGATAGTTGCCTTTGGTCCCTTCGCTGGTGACACTTTGGGCCGCTGCGCTGAGGGTGATGACCTAGAAAAACAAGGAAAATTGAAATTAAGGACCCGCTTCTCTCCTGCCCTGATTCTTTCCCCCCCCTCCTCAATTCCTTGTCAAACCGCCTTTCCGTCCCTGGAGAACATTGTTGGCCAACCGTGACGGTGCCAGCCTGAAGGGAAGCCAGGATGGGCCAGATTCCCAAATGGGCAGAGAAGACGCAGAACCGGCTGGGCTGCCTTTTGCCATTCTGGGTGCCGAGAGAGAGAGGGAGAGAGAGAGAGAGAGAGAGAGAGAG